GTGAGAGCATGCAGTCTCACCACATGAAAGGCACTTCACAGCATCTAGCAACTATTCTGTCCCTCAGTATTCAGTTCCTGCCCTCTAAATATTGCCTATGTAATAGCTTATTTCACTATCAGCCAGCTACTCCAGAACTGTGCAAACATCCTCATTCATTCATACTGGATAGGGAGGTAAATTCTGTTCTTCCTACAGCAAGAATTCCTGAGGTCCACAAATGTGCACCTTTCTCCATCAATTCTATAACGATGAGTGTTGGAATAAAACCAAGAGCAGCATCCAAGACTTGCAACAGTACCACTCTTCTTCGTGGAAGAAGAAACTGCATTATGTAGAGGTATACTGTAATTTAATTTTAAAAAAAGAAAAAACACTAAAAAACCCACTTATCTCTAGTACTGTAGAGAACCCTGGCATTTGCAATGTAGTAACATACTCAGTAGTCTACACTGGGAGCAAGATGCTTCCACAGGTTGTGATGGCATATTCAGAAATGCATAGTATCAGACTAATTATTCCCTTATCAAAGTGAGTGACAGCACTTAGAAAAATCCCACCTACCATCACTTTCTTCCAACAATCTTTTTTTTAAGGAAGCAGTTGATAAAAGCCACTTCAGAACATGAGTATTATCTGCATGCTACTGGAAGTCATCTCTGGTACAAGCAGAGGAGAGGAGAATGGTTATGAGAAGATGGTGGTCACTATTTCCTCAAATGCTGTCACTGCATGGCTGCTGCTCCTTTACAACCACACTTGCACAGTTTCTGTGAAGAATATCAGATCATGGTAAACTAAGAAGTAGCTTGAGATTACAAATTCAGCCCTTGCTATACATGAGTACTGGCATATATGACCTTCAACAATTGTCACAAGAACAGAACAAACACCTCATTATCTTCATTACAGCACTGAAAGCCCCAACTGTTAGTAATTCTAATCAGCTTTGGCAAAAGCTACTTTAACACTCAAGGCAGCGAGGAAGGTAGAGAATCAAAGTCTCAGTCACAAGAATATTACTATTCAGACAAGGCTAATCTTATTGCTACAAAATAAAGCTATCATCTCTTAAAATGAAGCTAGTTCAGTCAGCAATACAATAATCATTAAACTCACAAATTAGAACTCCTAATCCTTGCAGCGTACGTTTGACTAAAAACATAAGAGAGGCACAGACCAGATAGATAAACAAAGGTTTAGCAGGACCATCTGTAGGTCTAAAGTGGAAGTTCCTCAAAGACAACTTTTATTCTTTTAGTTATTTGTGCCATGTATGAGATTAAAAAAAAAAAAAACCACGCAGGTCAGGCTCTGAAACTTAGAAAAGCTGCACAGTATGGGCCTTATATCACACCTGAAGTTCCTTCTTTAAAACCTAGCTTGCAGCAGTAAGTTAGTGTTGCTGAAATCCAAGATTTCCATATGAGCAACTTGGCATGTTAAAATACTACGGATTCTAGTGTCTTAGCTCTGTTAATTGCTGACTGGAATGGAGTCTGTTGAAGAGGAAGTAAAAGCAGGGGTTTTACATTTTTCATGTTTGCCTCAGAAAAATTCAGGACTTTTTCTCAGGTATGTCATTACCAACGATGTGTCACATGTCATTACTTTATAATTAGGCTGATAGCCAAAAAGAATAATGCAGCTGACAGTCTATTAAAATAAAAATATTCCCCAAGGCATAAAAACACTGACACAAGCATCTTAAAAGGCAGTGTAAAAATCATATAAGGAACCATTTATCTGTGCTATCTTTTCCAACACAGAATAAGTAATTCTAAGTTATGTATGCATTGAACATTTAATTATCCTTTTCTGATTTAAAAAAAAAAATTATATCTGAAAGCAAAAGGCAGTGAAACCCTTCTTTGTCTATGAACACAAGCTACTATGAGAAGAGGCTATCTACACTGTGTATTACCCTAGATTATAATTTGATAATCCATCTTTCTTCAGCCGTTCAAATAAATAACTAAATACAAAACAAATACATTTAAAAAAAAAAACAAGAAAAGCAGCTTTTTTTGTCAATAGTTTGCAATTTACTTAACGTGCAATAATGATTCTATAATGATTCAAGCATTAAATACAAAATTTGTAAACATCAGAACTTCATTCTGTATAGAATTTTCTATAAAAAGCTCCTGACAGACTCAGGATTTAGGAAACCCAGGGCTGTAAGTCCCAGTTCAGAACATACTTAGTTCAGACTGTGTCTGAAAGTTAAGACAGACTAGCAGAATTACCAGATCCAGAAATTGGGTTTTATAGCCAAAGTAATGGTCTTCACTCAGCATGGCCAAATTTTAGTTCTTTGTTAACAGATGTAGTAAGAGATGTCCCATCTCTTCCTTGCAGGTACAGATATCACAAAATGTGTGCTGCTCCATTTGTTGGTGTTGTATAAACTACTGGAAGAAAGCATTTCTGCATTTGTGGATTTCAGCAACTTTATTCAAAATATAAGACTTCAAATTCAGTTTTCTTCTGAAGTCAGACTATAGCACATTTCCTTTTTTTTTCTGACAACTATTAACACTTTTCCAGTTGGCCAAGAAAAAAGACAGTCCTTCATGAAGCTGGCAGATCTAGTTCTTTGTTCACTCCGTACAGTGCTTTCATTTCCAACACAATGACAGACAGAGAAGTATTGTGTTTCAAACGTATTACAAGGAATCCTGTGATTTAGTTGTTGCTATTAAAGAATTATATTCAGAGATTATATATTCTGAAGTGAAATGAATTCCACGTAACTATCCTCCTCAAATGTTCTAGACGCAGAATTTATAACACATTTGATTACAGCAATATCACACTGCAGAAAAGGGCAGGTGACTTTTAAAAGTTATCTATTATTTTGTTGCCTATTCCTCGAATACTGCCAAATGAAGGACTACCAGGTTTCTCTCTGCACTCTAATACCAGTGTGCAGAATCTGAGATGATCTTTTGATTCACCATGCTACAAAAATCAGTTGACGTGTACAAAAATAAATATGGCGGGTAATGCTGTAGAAGGTCTGCGTTCTTCAGAAGTTTAATACTCAGCGCACCACTTGTACTTTAGCGACAGCAAGGGAAGGACCACTGCTACACTGGAAGACAAAAACTGGTAGCATCCCTTTACCACTGATTTACAGAGAACTGAAAAGGTGTTTGATAGTCCAATTTGCTAAGCATACACCTAAGGTTTTGTATCCTATCCGCGATCCTCATTTTCAAATTTCCCCTGCTTCACCAGGATTCCCGTCACTTGCCTTGGCAGTTGCATTTCAATCTGGAGGCTGCTCAGGAATAATGATGAATTTTGGCATGAGGTCACTCTAAATATAACGGGTCACAAGCTTGGCCAGTTCCTCAGACAAAGTCACCATGGGAGAAGAGAAAAAGTTTCCCTGTGTCTCCCCTCCATGTACTAAATAAGCTGAGAAAAGACTTATTTCTCAGCGTGGAAGTACATGACAAATGTGGGAAGATTCTGTTTAGAAAGATCAAAATCCTATAAAGAACAATATAAGTTTTGGTATATTTACTTTTAATACATGCAGCATATTTTCACATATAAATTCATGCATACAATTGCATTTTGAAGCACACTCCTGGTGTTAAAGGCAAAGTAACCCTGTATTTTTCTAGACATGCATTCCTACAGAGATGGATAAGTAAGGTTAAGTTCATAAATTCATTCACTCATGTAAAAAGAGCCTAATTTTTCAAAATAGTAAATACAAGCAACTAACTGAAATCAATAACATATTTGAAAACAGGAAGAGAAAAGAGCATGCATCAGACTTCGGTTTGAGACTATTTTTTAAACTCTGGGAAAAGAACACTTACCACAGTTACTGATGATACCTCAGTTCACCTCAAAAACTACACTATGTCAGAAGCTTTCTATTACAGTTAACTTGCAAAAAGAAAAGTCAATGCCTCTAACAAAGTAAAAACATTGATTTTTCTTCCACCAGACAAAAACAGCCACAAACAAGTTAGAAAGCACTGTGTTCTAGGAATAAACAAGTAGTTGCATAATTATGTATTTAGCCTGTGACAGCAAAGTTATTTTTCTCCATTATTAATATAATTTATTTTGTTATTCTTTTTTGACAAATGCAATTAAAGCTTTATAAAACAAAATAAATGTATAAACACATCTCAAAATCCCCAAGCATTTGCTGTCATTTAAATGAAAGCACAGAGGCTAAATAAGCCCCACTACTGGAGTTCAATGTCTGGAAATTTGTATATTGATGTTATTAGAATAACTACATTACAAATCCTTCCCAGAGAGAATCCCTGGAGTGTATGTGTTTGCTTTTTTAAGTTGTGGCAATTGCAGATAAGTAGTATCTCTAATCAGCCTTTCCCCACATATAAAATAAGTCAATGGTTCTGACTTCCCTGCACTCCAAAAACCTTTGTCCAGAGACAGAAATACAAAATATTGTATTATACAGTTAATATTTATCTTTAAAAATATATGAATTTGTTTTAAAAAATAGATCTTGCAAGTGAACACTTGAACTCAAAACACGTCCCAGTCTCTGGCACATCACCACCATACATCATGCATCATACGTATCAATTCAGAAAGTGAATGAAATACATCAAATATTTCAAATTTAAAACCAACTGTTTCTGAGCATGATGCAAAGTGGATAATTGTGTATATTTCATCATTTAAAATAACAGATACAGTCATTTCTCAAAACAGGAGTCACTAGTAGTGCCTGGGATATAGATCTACTTCACACATGCCATTTATAGTGCATGAGGCAGCACTAATGTCAACAGACGCAAAACATTCCAAATTAGCGGAAAGCGATCGTGTTCTGAAATCAGACTGCTCCATTCAATGCAAAGCACAGCAGCAGCATCTATTCATGAAATTGGAGAGAAACAGCAAAAATAACGGCTTCACTTGCTGGGCAAAAGAGCCCAGGACATCACCATTTCCTGAAGTCCCTTCCTCAGCTTTTGGAAAACACCAAGGCTTACCTTTCTGTACACCAGCATGTTTGGGGATTCATCGGCCACCCCGTTGCTGCTTTGCCCGTAATTATTTCCTTGTGCCATGTCCCACAAATTTGATCCGCTTTCAAACGTTGCGCTGTAAAAGGTAAAATTGGTTTCAGTAAGACATCGCCTCAGGTCTCCTTCCTTCCCCGATGATTAATGGACCTGACTTTCTACCAACATCTTATCAGAATCAGCGTATGCTCTTACTCCAAGAGATATTTACATCGGAGCAAAGATGCTAATTCACCATTTACTGTCATTACTCTCTTTTGCCTGTAAATAATGAATGTAATATGTTAATCTAATTTAGACGTTAATGAATTGTCACTCGGAATAGCTCCCTGACATACCACTAACCACCGCACCATGCGGACGCCTCCTCGCAAAGCACTCCTGCCTCCCCTGCACAGGCTTCACCAAGGGATGCTCCGCACTCCCCACACCAGTTTTGGGAGGACCCATTTGGCCCACGACCGCGCATTCGGCAGTGCCCTCTCCTCACGGCTCGGGCCACGGCAACTTTCCCAACCCTCCAACACACAGAAGGCAAACCGGGCGCTTTAAACTTCTCTTTAATTCACCAGCACGTGTGTGCTCTTACACATACGCCAGGGGAGGGAAGCAGGTGACGGGGGTGAAGGCAGAAACAAGCCAGAAAACCTTTCCGGTAGCTTTCACCTACTTTCATCGTACTTCGCTGCAAAACACCGGCTCCGCCAGCCCCGTCTCCTCCCCGCCCTCCCCCCCGTCACACGGGAGCCGCACTAAGCAAGAGC